CGGGCCCCGTGCTCTGTCCCCGGAGGCTCGCCCGGCCCTCGTGGGGTGCGCCGAGCCCGGGTTACCGCGGCCCACAGGGTGCGGCCAAGGGGTCTCCCGGAGGCTGGACTGCCCTGGGCTCGCTCCGGGCCCCAGCGCCTCCCCGGTGCGCGCCGGCGTGTGCCCGGGCTGCCGTGGGTCAGTGAGTTCCTCTCCCAGTGTGCCCCGGGAGACCCGAGGCTCCCCAGCGCAGTTTCTGGAACGCACCCTCTTGTCATCCACTCTCCCTCTCCCCCGGGGGGGGGATTACAGCGGCCACCGAGGAGGTCCGCGCCGGCCATCACCGGTCACCTGCCGCTTGCGCTCGGTCCTAACGAGATCTGAGCAAATCCTGCTTGGATTTTGGTTTTGTGCCGGCCCCGGGGCTCGAACACAGGGCCTGGGCGCCCCCCCCCCAGCTGTTTTGCCCAAGGCCAGCCGCTCAGGCCCCAGCACCACTTCCGGCCCCAGCTGGCTTCGAACCGCGCTCCTCAGAGCCCAGCCTCCAGAGCAGCTGGGACTTGAGGCCCGAGCCCCCCCCAGCCGGTCTCCGCCTTCTGCGGGGGGTGGGGTTGTCTGGCTCGGGCCTCTTCTGGCTCCGGCACCCCCCCCAAGGCCTCCACCCCTCTCCCCCCTCTCCCCAGCCACTCGGCCACACCTGCCTTTGGATGGCCAATTGGAGAAGAGTGCCCGGATGCTGCTGCCCGGGCTGGCTTCTGTCGGGATCTCAGCCTCCCGAGCAGCTGGCATCGCAGGCGTGAGCCCTGGCCACAGGCAACGGGCTCCTAACAACACTCCCCAGCCCTATCCCGTTGTCTCTCATTAGCTTAATTCTCCCTTTCAGTTGGCTTATCACGGATGGCAGAGGAGATGACAGAGTAGGAACCGGGCTTTAGATTGTAAATCAAGCAAAAACTTTTCCGTCCCGCGGCCCAGGTCAGTGGGCAGGATTTTTAGGAGCGCTGCCTACCCAGCTTCCTCCTCCCACACGATGGAAGAAGACTTTGTCCTTTACAGAAGAAAACGTCGCCAAGGCCACGTCGCCAGTTCACCGTCCAAAGTGAGGTTTGTGTGGGACACTAGAGGAGAGTAGATCCAAGGAACTCCTGCCTTCTCATTACATGTGCCAGTTTTATGACTAAGGCTTCAGGACTGAGACCCAGTGAAAAAAGAAAAGACGTATTTTGATTTCCTACTGTTGAAGTCATTATTTTCCATGAGCATTTCAGGAGAAATAAAAGTATTGACTTCCAAATTAAATAGCAAGTTACATAAATCTCAAAAAGTAAATATTATCCAGGTTGACACCAAGTTATAAACCACAAGAAATAGCAGTCAGATGAAACTAGCAATGACCTTGGTGATAAATAGGTCTCCCCCAGCAAGCTCAGTCAGAGCTAGTCTCTTTTGGGATGGAGTTACTGAGGCCTGATCTCAGGAGTTTCCCATTGATGCTTTACCACTTGAGCCACAGCTTTGTTCCAACCCCTTGCTGATTCATTGGAGATAGAGTTGCACAGACTTTTCTGCCTGGGCTGGCTGCAAACCCTGATCCTTAGACCTCAGCCTCTCCAATAGCTAGCATTACAAGTGAGGGTCAGCAGCACCCAACTGACATGGGCTTTTTTCTCTTTCTTGCCCTTGCCCGATTGCTAAATTGACTTTTTCCTTCATGATAGTAAAAGCATCATTACTTAAATTAGGGGTTGTTGCAGTTATATAAATGTAGTCTGTGATGAAGGTCATTGATTTTCTTGCTTCACCCAGCAGTATTGGAACAATTTTACCCACACAAACTTCTAGAAACATGGCAGAATTAAACAGTATTTTTTTTCTGTAGATCAAATTGCAAATTTATTCTTTAATTATGATCACAAGTATATAAAAACAAGCATTTGAGAAAGTAAGAACAAATATATGAAGAAGTCAAAAAAGACAGGTAATCTGCCAGTTCCCGCCCAGTATACCAAATATGTTACCAGAGAGATTAGAGCAACAAACAACCTCCCATCAAATTCTTATGTCTGGCAAGAGAAGAATTCAGACAAGACACAGACGGAAGTAAAGGTGATACAAAATCTCCTGGCAGGGAGCCATGGCAGAGGAAGTGCACGTGACATCGACATGGTAGAGAGCTTGGCCGTGGGTTAAACAGAGCTGGATGGCCTCTGGCTGGTGGTTCTTTCTGTTTCCTGTAGGGGTGTGATGCCCAACATTTACCGTCCCATCCCTCATTTCCTCATTCTTCTGTCCTTACTTCATCATTCTTCTGCAGCCCCTGGCCCCTTGTTGTCAGGTTTTCGTTGACACGACAGCTTGCATTGTGCAGACTATATAGGCCTCGATCCTCTACCTGGCTGCTTTCCTACCAACTTCGATTTCCCCCTTTGTGTTCTGTTTGCATCACATTTATAGTTAAATCAATTAAAAACATATAAACTGGTACTTAAGAAAGTTCCGATCAGATTTCAGCTGGTGAGTTCAGTCATGGGAAGGTGGATACACAAACTGTCCACCTGGGGGCTGCCAGCAGAAAGCAGAATGCACAGGGTTGGGGGTAGGAGCACATGTAACAGAAATTTCAGCCTGGAGAGTCTCAAGAGAATAGTTAATTTCCAACGTGTGGCAAGACTTTGATCAGAGGTGTAGACAAGATTCCAAAGCGGCAGATAAAGTGATTTGACATATCCATATCCACTAATTGGGCAGTTGGAACTGTTCAATTATTAAACAAAATGGACTCCTACAGATTGTGGGTTTATAAGATCCTGACATCCACTTGCAGTGTAACTGTTAAATTTTGTTTGTTTAATTCTATGTTGGCTTTCCCATTATCAGAACAGTTTAAACACCTGTTATACATACACAATCATAATTATCTAACCCTGTTTTAAATGAAACAGGTTATTAAAAATGATATATGTACATACATAAACAAAAATTTCATTCATTTATAGGTTCAACAAGTTCTCACAACATTCAAGGAAAATGTTAGAGGAAAATTGCCAGAAAGGACCACTGAACACAAACAACCATGCTCTGATCCTGCCCCTTCCACTGTTCCTTTCCTCTATGAAACAATTTTCCCAAAGCTTGAGAAAAATTTGAAGTTCAAAGCTATGAAGTTCTTAAGTTAGCACCCCAAGTCTGCAAACAAAAGAAAAAAAAAGTCTGGGCTGCTTCTGAACTCAAGTACCTGCATTTTATTTGCTTATAAAAGATGCTCTTTTGCTGGGAACTGGTGGCTGGCGCCTGTAATCCTAGCTACTCAAGGAGGCTGAGATCTGAGGATGGTGGTTCAAAGCCAGCCTGAGCAGGAAAGTCTATGAAACTCCTATCTCTAATAAACGCCTCAGAAAAAGAAGTGGTGCTGTGATTCAAGAGGTAGAGTGCTAACCTTGAGCAACAAAAGCTCAGGGACAGTGTCCAGGCCCTGGCTTCAAACCACAGGACTGGGCACAAATTTTTTTTTAAAAGATGCGTGTTTTAAGTGAGTGCTCTATGAAGGTAATAGAGATAGCAGCAAAAGAAGCGAGAACCTTCGCACTCTGAACTTGGAGTCGTCGAACAGCAGCCTGAGTTGTTAACAGCGTAAGATGGGAGGGTAAGATGGCACTGTGGAGGAGCACTGGCCAGGGGGAAGGGCTATGCTAGCGGGAGCACTGGGCTCCAGAGTAAAGGGGGTAGGCACCTCCACCACCCTCACCTCAGTTGGCAGGGGAAGGTTCTTGGATCAAGTGTTCCCCAAGCTGGGCCTTGAACAAACCAGAAGAGGAAGGTTGGAAGCAGAACCTACACAAGCCCATAGCTGGTTTCTCCGGCCACTTAAATAGAACCTTCCCAGCTTCCCTCTTCCAATAAATAGATGGCCTGGCCCTATTCCCCAC